TAATCAAGGAGACCTGGGAAAAATAGATTTGATCGTCTAATGTTTTCATGTCTTGTCTTGGCCGGTTAAAAGATGCCCAAATGCTATTTTTAATCATATCGTATTTTTTTCAAATGAAAAGAGGGTGGCTCATTAGTATATTTGGAAAAAGTATTTTTTTACAAATAATTTGATGCGACACACGTGGTAGTTCGAGTCAAATTGTCGTTAGAAACCGCGTGTTACACTTTCAAATAAATCATATGTGAAACTGTTAAAAGTTGACATATGATATGTCTTTCTACTCAGATCATTTTCTATCGAATAACGTAAAAAAATACCGAGAATGCCATTTAAACATCAAAAGTTGTTGACATTTAATAGTTTCAGCTTTGAATTTTATAGTGTATGTAATTCGTGTTGGAAATTCCAAAACACTCGTTACGTAATATACTATTACATTATTTCCTGTTGATATTGTGTTGCTTTTGATACGCGATTTTCAAAGTGCCGATGCTAAGAGACAGAACTTATATTTTATTCTATGAAATTTGGTCTCGGTTACGCCTCGTCCGCAAATTTAATGGTACAACTACACACTCGGCGAGGCGACCCGAGACGCCACAAAAAATTAACAATTTGTACATTGTTATTGGTTAGGACCGTCCTTTTTTGTCTCGGGTCGCCTCGGCGAGTGTGTACTTCCAGCATAAGGTTCGGCCAAAAAAGATCAACTTTACGGCCTTGGTACACAAATAGCGATTACAGTAACGAGCAAGAGCTAGCAACGTCGGAAAAACAAGTATTTTAAGACGTCTGGCTCTTTGATATATCTTTTGCTATGCTCTCTAGTACAGCATGCGGCCCGTCTGGCTGCCGGTAAACGTTGCGTTCCCTACTGCGCATTGAAAGAAGATCCTACATTTTTATTAGTCGTTTAAATTCTAGTATTGAATACAAATCGAACATGTCTCCATAGCGCAGTGCGTAGAGTTTCCGACCACGAACCGAGGATTCAGAGTTCGAATCCGGGTCAGGACAAAGACTTTTTTTATTTTCATTTATATTCTGATAGTAAAGTATTAAATAATTCTGGTAATTTAAAAAAGAGACATGTTCGATTTATATTCAATACTGGAATATATAGGACTAAATTAAAATAAAATATTGGATCTTTTTCCGATGCGCAGTAGTGAACGCAACGGGTATCGGCAGCCAGACGGGCCGCATGCTGTCCCAGAGAGCATAGTAAAAGGTATATCAAAGAGGCAAACGTCTTAAAATGCTTTCTCGAAAACGGTGCTAGCTCTTAGACTTATATCACGTGGATGTTAACATCTTGTTCTCCCACTTTTACCTCACCTTAACCCCGCAGCTTATCGTTTGACGTTGACAGTTGACATAATTTAAGGCTTAAGCTTGTTTCATATAGACGCGAATCGCGAAATGCGATTTTGCGAAACTGCTCTCATTGGTCCAATTTCACTGATCATGGCGGCGCTGTCAGAAATTTTAAGATTTTGGCGATTCGCAAGATTTAAAATTTGGGGGGCGGGAAAGTTAAAGTGTTTTCAACTTTTTGCGAATATTCGCGCGATTTTAAGGTACGCGTTTGCGCAGAATGGTGTTGTGATCCGGTTATCGATTATTTTGACGACGCTGCCGCAAAGTAACTGAAAGCATTCATAAAATTGAGCTGGCAATTGCCCAGTAGCAAAGCCAAATCCGAGATAAGACAAGACAACTGAAAGCATTTCTCCAGTTGAAATGGGTTCTCGTACATAATATGTTTTTAATATATATGGTGACAATTTTTCAACTTCAACCAAGTTATCAAACTCCTATACAGACAATCTGTGAAAATTCCTAAATTTTTTCTCATTTCTTTCCTTATTTCTTGAATTAAATTGCGACAAGCACCTTGTTGCTTACGAAATTTGAATATTTCACATGTCCCAAATGGCTCATAAATGACTTATAAACCTGTGCTATAAACCCGTTCTCTTCTACGTTTTAACAATAAGGAATTGGCAATTTTGCACCTTATTCTATTCCAATCCCACAATCGTAATCGATATTCATAATTATTAAACAAATTTAAACTTATATTGTATGCTATAAAATATAAAATAAAGATCGTAAACACGAATAAATATGTATAAAACAAATTAAGTTATCTCAGGTTATGATTTTTTTTTTGGTAACTTTCAGTGGAGCAAAAATGAAATGTCCCTAAAAATTCGCGACTGTATGAAATAGTTCCGAATTTTGCGAATATTTTTTTGGCGAATCGCTTTTCGCAATTCGCGATTCGCGTCTGTATGAAACAAACTTTAATTGGGCAAGTATGTTTCAAATAATTAATTAGTAATAATATATAATTAATTTAAGGCTTACTTTTAAGGCTTATGTCTGGGCAAAACAAATGGGGAGTTTACGAATGACTTGTTTTCTCTATTTTAATTTTTAACTCTGTGGTTTTACTTTATTTTTGTGTCCGTTCTTATTAATTTGTTGAAAATTAGTGAAATTGTCTGTTCACAAGTTTGAATATATTCTAAACAGCGTTAAAATAACTAGCTTTTTATAAAATCTCTTCATCATGTATTTTTAAGTGAAAAAAAAATGGGGTCTGCACAGAGATATGGAAGTGGGAGAATGAGCTTCGACGAGTGCGCATCCAAATTTTTGTCGACGGCAAGATGGCAAACATCTTCCAGGTCCCGCTGTCACTTCCCCTCTTTAATTGACATCTGTTTGTTTTGTTTTTTTTTTCGTTTGTGTTGTTATCTAGTTAAAATTTATTATTATCTCAATTATTCTAAACACTAATTCAAAAAGGCTTGTTGTATATTGTCATAGTCATTCTAAGAAAGCTAATACGCCGGGAAAAATTATTAGTTTTCATGTGTAAGTTTATACAACATAATCGTGTTTACAGATGATCCAAAACTGTTTATTTTTAGTTTCCCTACAGGCGATTTGTAAAAATCGTGATTGTAATTGGGAATGGTCAAAAATAAGTGTATGATGTGGCCATTTAAAGAGGATGTTTTTATTACGTGTGGAGGAAGAAGATGCTTGGAATCAGTGTTCGTGCTTCTGTAAAACAGTGCACTCTTATAGTGTCCATGAAAGCACAAGTTCAAGTTTGGTCCTTACTTGACAAGAAGATTATTTGGAGGAAAAGAAAACATAAGATATGGTATTTTAATCGAACAGCGAAAATTTAACATTTTTATTGTAAAGTTTGTTGTAGGTAGTTGTAGTTTTGTGCTAAATATTTCTAACATTAGCAGCAACAATGTTCAGAGTGTCAAGAGGAGGAGAATTCAGTTAATTAGATTTATGCACAGTTACAGGTATGAAGGCTTTTTCAAACATAGTATCGAGTTCTATAGTCAACATTTTTAGTATTCCTACAACTGTAAAAACAAGGAACATGGGACTGAAAAAATGGCAAGATTTATATAGGAAGAAAGGGTATTATGCCAATAAGAAAATTAAATCTGTAGGCAGAATTTTCTTATTTAAAAACTGTTATGGGGCATATATTAATTTGTATCTGTCATGAAGTTTACCCTTTTACTTTAAGAGGGTTTGTTTCAATATTACACTTTTATTCTTGTAAAATCTATGATGAAGTTCAAAAGCATTTTGCAATGGCCTTAAATTGTGAGCCAGGATTTATAGCAAAGGTATTTGATGCAATGAAACTTAATCAGTACCTTCCAGTATGTATTTTAGTAAGGGGATTATCAATCCCATGTTTTTAAATAGATAAAATACAGGCAAAAGTTGACAATATTACAGTTGAGAAGAAACTATTTTATCTTAAAAAAATTTTCCTAAAATTCTGAGATCATATAATCTAATTTTCTTAATAATAAATTAGGTATATGTATGTTGTACATACAGAATTTTGTTATGGACAAATAAGGATCGACAAGCTTCTTTTGTGCAAAAAATAAATTTTTTCTAGTATTAAGACAAACCATAATGTGTTTTACAAACTTACCGGTAACAGTTTTTTTTATAATAAAATATTTAGGAATTATTTGGGGTTGTTTATCAATATATTAATGACTTGAATTTTGACAAATTGAATTTGTATCAAAATGATTTTACGAAATATAAAATTGATGTTCTATTACAAGATTGAGTTTTTATTGTTGACAAAAACCAGGATAAATACTAATAATAATACCCTTAATAAAATCAATGATGTTTATGTATTATGAAAATATTTGTTAGAGGACATGTTATGTAACAGTTTTTGTAACACAATTTGAAGGGACGAATAAAAAAAAATAAAACAAAAACATATTTTTTCTAGGTTCATATTAAAAATATAAGGTAGGTAATCATCAAAAATAATTATGAACCAAATGTTTTTTATGAATATACAACTTGAACAAAAAGCTGTTTAGAACAATTTTTACCAAATTTGCAAAAATTTTAAATTGAAACGCGTAATTCAATACAAGTAAACATGAAATATTGTAAATACTTATTTAAGATCATTTCGAGTGTTTAAGACGAAAAGGTCATCTGTCCGTAGCGTCTTTTGTCAGAATATTCGTATATTTAGTGTATTATATACCAATATTGTACGCAGTTTTGAAACTGATAATTAAATAAATCATATTAATGTTAGCTAACCATAATAAATGATAGAATTTCACTAAATTTAAATTGCCCCCCGTATGGTTGAAAACAGCAAATTGATATTTGATTACTTATAGATTACCACCTATATACAAAATGACACGAAGACCTGGAATATGGCGCCCAACTTGATTAGACCTTCTGCGCATGTTGACGCTCATTCTCTATCCCTTCTCTTTCTCTGGGTCCGCATCTCCAGCACGCCATAAGTGGTACAAAAGATCACCACGCCAGTTGAGGGTCTATCTAATTTGACTAGGATATAAAATAAATAAATACCTAAAATATTTTCTTGACTTTCGTCTTTATGTTAAAACAAAATAATTGGTTGATTTAAATCAAAGAAATACTAATAGGTTGTGATATTATTTATTATTTTATACTATATAATATAAATAATATGGCACACTTATACATATTACAAAATTTCACAAAAATGACGCCATAAATATGTGCTAGTTAACACCTTAAACTAAGTTATTCATGAAACAAATTGTTCTATATCTTTCTCTTTTATTTCTTGCGTGTTTCAGACCCGCCTATTTTAGTAATCAGAGAAATATAAGAAATGGAGATAACTAAACAAAGTTAAGTAAGTTGTATTGTAACGGCTATTATCCAATACATCGCCAATTTATCTCCGGCCAACACTTATTTAAAAAAAAATATATATATATACATATATATTAGTCAATGTGTTCCAAACTTTATGTAAATGTGTATATTACTGATTATTTTATACTAAAAAGTATAAAAATAGCATGACACATAAATAACACAAATATAAGTCAATAATTTAAACATACATGATTCAAAAATTAATCATTATCTAAATTCTTGATCTAAATAAGCATCTAAATTTTCTTCCTCTTCTATGTCTTCTTCGGGAATTTGAAGCGCTTGAGGATTTTGTATTGCATCATGCATAACAATATCCGAACTATCCTCTTCTTGCGCAATCTCGAGTGTCTCAGGACTTTGTATTACTTCATGCATGACAATATCCGAACTCTCTTCTACTACATGTTCTTGAATAATTTCGGACATCTCGGAACTTTTTGTTACATCATGCATAACATTATCCGAAATATCTTCTACTTGATGTTGTGGCGAACCAGACCCAAATAATCTGGGGTTATGAGGAATTTTTGTTACGTCATACATAATACTATCCGAAATATTTTCTACTTGATGTTGTCGCGAACCAGACCAAAATAATCTGTGCCTATAAGAATTTTTTTTTACATCATGCATAGTAACATCTTCACGTTTTGGAAAAGCAAAGAAAAATAATTTGGGCTTTATTACACCCTTCACAACTTTACCCGAAATATCATCTACTACATATTTGCGTGACCGAATAATTTGTGCTACATCATTCACTAGAATATCCGAAAGAGGGTTATATTGAAGTATGTTGTATCGTACTTCACACTCGTGTTCGTGTTGTTCCAAGCCTTGCTCTGCTCTATCCACTTTCATAGATTCTCTGAGATAATAGTCAACATATTCGACGCAGAAACTGTTTGCCGGTATGTCACTTATCTTATTCTTTCGTAAAATATCAGCTAATTTAACAAAAGCTTTTATTGTACAGAGCCATCTAAGCGGTGCTCGATCACGTTCTATATTCTTTCCTAGCTCTGCGTAAAGTTGAAAAAATCGTTTTTTGTTCTTATATGGTTTATGTCGAGGTTTTGTGTGATGTGGCTTTTCTTTTTCCGCTGCAGAAGTAGTCGGCGATTCCAAGGCGGAAGCGGCAGAAGTTGATGCTTCCGAAAGGGAAACTGCAGAAGTAGAGGGCCTTAAAGCGGAAGTGGATGGTTTTGAACTGGAATATCCAGAGGTTGATGGATTATCAAATAAACTTACGGTACTTGGTTTCGATTTTTTCTTTGATTTTTTCTTCGATTTTTTTGTGTCAGTTCCTTCTTGTTCTTCAACTTCCATTGTTAGGCTTCCTTCCGGCTTCAGGCTTTGGGGGTCTATAATAACTTCTTTAGCACCGTGCGTTTTTCTTGCTTTACCCCTCCTCCTAGTCTTAACATCGTCGTCCTTTATCAATTTTGTGAAATAATCACCAGATTGACTCCTCATATGGTTTAAAATTATTTCAACACCTCTTCTTCTTTTGGATTTCATAGCTTCTCCTCCATCACCGGGGGCTAGCCTAGAGCCATCGTATCCCATACGTTCAACAAACTCTTTATACGCCATCTCGCAATCAGAAAATTCATGTTTACTTTGGTCCTCGGTGACTTTTTCTTTCGAAGAACCAGGAACCGGTAGCTCCTCATCAGAAGCTGTAGGAGTGTCTGTAGGAGTGCTTGATGCACTTGAAATTTTCCGTAGGGACGGACACAGATCATCGGGTTTCTTAAACACCATACTTGATAAAATTATTCTTATATCTTCAAGGCTATCATAAAGCTCTTCTAAGTCCGAGGGGGAGACTGTGGTCAGGTGAAATATTGACTGTACCATTGGACATAATGCCTCTAATAGGTGAATTGTGTCGTTCATACTCGAAGTCTCCTTAAGTGTCCCTAAAATATAAAAAAATCTAGTTAAATTTTGAAGATAACTAAATAAATTATGTACCAAATCGTTGTCCTCGATCTACGACATAATAAAAAAAAGTTAAGTTAAATATATTTGGCGTAGGACAGTTACTTGCTCGAGATGTAACAAAATTGCAATGAAATTCTTGTGATGCCATAGCAGATAGAATATCACTCCAGTGGGCACGGCGTTTTCGTAAGCCTAGAAAAAAAAATTACCATATTTTTCTATGAACAATGACATCATTTATAAAAATGGGTAATATGTAGGTGCATGTAATATACAGTGTTCAAAAGTAATTATAATATTAATATTTAGTATGTCTAATATAACGAGTATTGGCTAAAATTATTACCGAAGTACCCCCTGAAATTATTTCACTATACTAATCTATATCCTTTTATCAATTTAGATTCTTTGTCAAATATTGTTGAAATATTAATATTTTAATAAAATACCATTTAGATGTATCAAATTTAATGAGAGTAACGTAAACTCTACGTAATATGTTTCGGCATGTAAGGCATTTTTCAAAAGTTTTTGAAAAACTGTCTGACTATTATATTGTAACGATATTTATTCGCTGTGGTGCGGTGGTGGATTTAAGGAGTTTACAATAGGAGTAATAAAAAATGTGTTTAGAAATCCTTGTTGGTCGTTTACATTCTTGTCGTTTTTACCTGATTTTAATATTTCTAACCGTTCAAGATAATTTAACGGTCTGCCTTTTGTTCTTCTTTGTAATAGCTTAACTGAGTTTTCATTTTTTCATATTTAATATACAATGGATTGCTAGACCAAAACTTCGTTGGAAATTATTACTTTGAGAAGGAATTTTATACCTATACAGGGTGTTTCAAAAAACATTTGCCATCTCTCGTGGGGAGATTCCTCACGTAAAAATAAAATTTATTTTTCATATCAACATAGGTCCGATTTTGCTTTATTTCGTCGCTAGAGGGTGTTATAGTCTTAATATTTTTTCGATTTATTATAATTTTCTTTCAAGTACTTTTAGCGTTTCGAATGAAATTTCAAGGGTAAAAATTACTATAGATGCACCATACTTTAAAGCTAAATAAGTGTGGACATATTCACCAGGGACGTGCAGACTGAAATATTTTTCTAAAAAAAGCGTGTACGCCACTGACTTGTTTTTCTCTTGTTAGCAAAATAGAGTAAGCAATTTAATACCCATTAAAAGTTGTCTCTTGATATTTTGTCGATTGCGACTTCCTTGATGAGATAAACGCAATTTCATTAATTTGCCTTGATCCAAGTCTAATAGCAACCTTTAAAAAAATTTAATATCTTTAACTTGCGAAAGTTTTAAATAATACTCATTGATTCCTCAATAAATATGAAAAAAAGTTCCTATAAACACGGATATGGAAATGTATAGTTTTAGAGTTACAGGATGTTATAACTTTTTAAAATTATTTTTTTTGTATTTATCTTACTTACCATTATTTTTTATTTGAAATTGTTGTAGGCTAGACTAATAGCAATAATATTTAGTAATAAAATAGGTAAAGTATATAATTTATTAATTTTATTTTTATTTTATTAATTGTGATTAATAAAATTGCGTTTATCTCATCAAGGAGGTCGAATTCAACAAAATATCAAGAGATTTGGCATTAAACACACGGTATACAAAATTTTGATATCAAAATAAAAAAGTCATTGGCACACATGTTTTTTTTTGAAAAATATTCCAATGATAACCCATATGCACGTCCCTGATAAATTTATTGACACCTTTTTAGCATTAAAAAATATAGCACTTATAGTAACTTTTACCATCAAAATTTCATTCGAGTCACTAAAAGTACTTGGAAGAAAATTATAATAAATCGAAAGACTTTAACACCCTGTAGCTACGAAACAAAGCAAAGTCGGACGTATGTTGATATGACAAATAAATCTTATTTTTACGGGAGGAATCTCCCCACGAGAGATGGCCCATGTTTTTGAAACACCCTGTATAAAAAAATTGTTTGTGCACTATGTGCGCATATCTATACTAATATATAAAATCCTTAAGTGACTGACATACTGATTAAACACGATCCTGCTCAAACCCCTCAACGTAAGAAGCTCAATTTTGGCATTCTAGGGTGTGGAGGTTCGATAAGAAGGGATTTTTCGAAATTCCAGTTCCAAGAGGGTGAAAGCACCCCTCAAATATTACAATATTTTTTATTTAAAAAACGGTCAAGTTTCCGAAAAAATGCTTAAACACGTATATTTTATTTTGTTTTTTTACATATATTAAGTTTTTTTAAAAATGTATACAGGGTGTTTCGAAAAATCTGGTCATTGATTAATCACGATCCTGCTTAAAGCGCTTGACGTAAAAAGCTGATTTTTGGAAAACAGATTGACTTTAGGGTGTAGAGGTTCGATAAGAAGGGATTTTTCGAAACTCGAATTCTAAGGGGGTGAAACGATCCCTCAAATATTAAAATATTTTTTATTTAAAAACCGGTGAGTTTTTCGGAAAAAACTCTTAAACACGTATATTTTATTTTGTTGTTTTACATATTTTAAGATTTTTTAAAAATTTATACAGGGTGTTTTATAAAATATGACCATTGAGTAATCACGATTCTGCTTAAACTGCTTGACGTTTAAAGCCGACTTTTTGGCAAACGGATTGACTGTGGGGTGTAGAGGTTCGATAAGGGGGGGTTTCTCGAATCTCAAATTCCAAGAGGGTGAAAACGCTCCTCAACTATTACAATATTTTTTATTTAAAAAACGGTTAGTCTTTCGGGAAAACGGTTGGACAAGCATAATTTATTTGTTTTTTTTATATATTTTGAAATTTTTTAAAAAATCATACAGGGTGTTTCAAAAAGTTGGGTAATTTCTTAACCACGATTCTGCTTAAACTGCTTGACGTAAAAAGCTTATTTTTGACAAACGGGTTTTTCAAAAGTCAAATTCCAACGAGATGAAACTACCCCTCAACTATTACCAAATTATATAATAATATCGCCATATTGTTTTTCTCATGCTGACATAAATGTGAGAAAATTTTATCCAGTTTGTATGTTAATGCAAATTCTTGCTTTGCTTTATCATCATCATTACAAATGATTAATTCGACGCGATCGAAGTCGCGGGTACACGCTAGTTTTTCATATGAAATGACAGCGATCTTCATTTCATAGCCATCGCTGACGCCACCATTTTTTTTCGATCGTATGATTCTTACACATAGAGAAAGATAGTAAAAACTTAAACTAATAGTAAAGTAAAACTTTTTATTACTTTCTCTATGTTTTTATATTATTAATCGAGTAGAGCCAATAGCAGACTTTTCAACTAATTAAGTTGTATAGAGATCATACAGTGTTATGGGATATCCTCATTTAAAGTGAAATAAAAAAAAAGCATGATGCCTGGTTAAAAATTACAAAAAGTATATATTTGGAAAGAGAAAAAATTAAGAAAAAAATGCGTTATCTAATAGGTCAGTTCCAGAGGGAACAAAAGAAATGCAAATCAGGTACTGGTTTAGATGAAGTAGATAATTCAAAATAATTTGTTTTTAAGTTTTTAATGTTTTTAAAAGACAGAAACACACCACAGCCGAGGCAGGTATTGAAAAGGTAAGCTAATTGAGTTCAACTATATCTAGATCTTGCTTGACGGACTCAAAACCACTTTTTTCTCGACTTTCTTTCTCTTTCTTCAAAAATAATTATGCACGCCGCTGCTGCGAGCAGAACCTCTTTCTCGCCAAAACGATTCATGATTACGAAAACTATAATGTAGATGGCTCCCGGTTTTTGAACATGTGATATGTAGCTTGTTAAATAGCAATGTTATATAACATGTTACTAAATGTGGACCCTCCTTAATAGATTCTATAGCTTCAAACTAAATATATTTAAATATATTCTAATAACAATTCTGACTACTCCACTTACCCTCTTTATACTCGTATTCAAAATAATACAATTCATTGTGGGAACGGAACACTTCTTGCATACCTTCTATTAAATCAAACCAATCGTAAAAATGAAGTATGTCCATCACTGGTTTTACTGAGTATACTATAGGTTTTGATGATATGCCAAAATCTGATTTCTGTAACAAAATGTACTATTTTAATCACATACGTATTTATGATTCACTGTAAAAAATACATGTTAAGTAAAAATACATGAAAATTTATTGTAAAAATAAATTAATTCCTTATGGAATATCGTATAAATATTTATTTTTTTCAACGAAAAAGTAAAAATATCTCCTTTAAAACTATAGAATACAAATAAAATATTCAAAATACGCAATTCGCCCGGAATTCGTTATTTTACACAACGATATGAAATTTTATTCAATATAATTATAATAATCATAATGTAAAGTAATCATAATGTAAAAAATATACAAAACAAGTAAAAAATATTACAAATAATAATTTCAAATATTCATAAATAATAATATCTGATTTTATGCAAAATTATAAGTTTTTAAATAATAATATTATAGACGGAGAGCTGGCTACAAAAAAAACCTTATCATCGTTACATGGCTAATTTTTCTTGTGAAGTATCCTTTTGTGTAGCCATTAAGTTTTTTCAGCGCGTTTACGTCGCGTCCGTCCCATTGAACTCGAACCCTGACGCTCAGCGGACGCTAGCGCATCGCTAAACGTGACGCTGTCTGCCTGAATGGTCTAATTTAAATTAAGTGAATTGATTCAAAAATTTGGTTTAGATTTAGAAACCAAATTTTGGAAACAATTGAAAACAATAGAAGCATGAAAGTGTTAAGACGCAAGCAAATGCGCGGAAAACAAAAAATAATAAAGAACTTAAATAATAATAGGAACAACTTTATCAGTCTGTTATACCAAACAAAGATAGAGTACAAAAACACATTACAAACGTAGGATCACAAGACATGCCAGAAATATCAACCACAGAAATTAAATACTCACTTCAACAAATAAAAAATGGCAAAAGCCCAGGGAAAGATCGTATTACACCAGAAATGCTGAAGATGGGCGGAAAACCATTAGTGGATGCCGTGGAAGTACTGTTAAATAAATGTCTAATGGAGGGTAGAATCCCAGACGCATGGAAAAACGGAGAAGTTGTGCTATTATACAAAAAAGGAGATTATACAAATATAGAGAATTATAGACCAATAAGCCTTCTCTCGCAACGAAACTAGATTCCTATCAGCCAATAGAACAGGCAGGCTTTCGAAAAGGTTTTAGTACAATCGATCATCTACAAACAATTAAAACAGTCATTGAAAAAACAACAGAATACAATATACCGCTACATTTGGCCTTTGTAGACTACCAAAAAGCCTTTGACAGCATCGAAACCTGGTAATTTCTAGCTGCAATGGAGGACGCGAGAATTGATTCCAGATAGTATTCCATTATTAAAAATATCTATGATAGTGCAACCTTCCAAGTTAAATTAGATGATGACCTCAAAACAGAAAAAATACCACTCGGCAAGGGCGTGAGACAAGGAGATACCATCTCTCCCAAGTTATTTACACTGGCACTGGAAAATGTCTTCAAGTAATTAGAATGGGAAAATAGAGGTCTAAACATCGATGGGGTACACCTTAGCCATCTTAGGTTCGCAGACGATATTGTCTTGCTGAGCACCGACATTCAAGAACTGAACACCATGCTAAAGGAGCTATTTAGCTGGACCAGTCCCAGAAAATTGGCCTTAAAATGAACTTGAAAAAGACCAAGATAATGAGCAACAATATCCATAACATTACCGTTGACAACGTTATTATTGAAAACGTAGACCATTATATATATTTAGGTCATAAAATCAAGCTGGGTAAGGAGAACCAAAATACGGAGATCAAACGCAAGATCCATTTGGCATGGGTACCATTTGGAAATATGAGCGATGTTTTCAAGGAGAGAAAGGTGCCCATCAACCTAAAGAAAAAGGCTTATGACAGCTGCATTCTACCTGTGCTTACGTATGGCTTAGAGACTATGGCAATTACTCGAAAAACAGCAGAACAACTACGAGTAGCACAAAGAGCCATGGAAAGAATCATGTTGGGAGTCACCATTAGGGAAAAATACGGAACACCCAAATACGTCAAAAAACAAAATTAATAGATGTTGTTAAAAGAGCGGCAAGTCTAAAGTGGCAATGGATAGGACATGTGGCAAGACAGGATCCAGACCGATGGCCCCAAAAAGTCATCCTATGGATACCTAGGGGCCGACCAAAAAAGAGATGGGTCGATGGCGTCAGGGCAGTGGCGTGAGGACAATGGATAAGATTGGCTAGAGATCGTGAAGCATGGAAAAACCTAGAAGAGGCCTCTATCCAACACTGGATGGAACCAGGCTGAAAAAGAAGAAGAAAGAATAATTAATTCCATTTCCACACGCGGCACAGTGCTTCGAACACTGGAGGACAAAACTGCAAAACTTCTCTTTTATTGTAGGTAATTTATTCAAACTAGGTTTATTAAACATAAATGATGAGTACTCTCATTGTACTAAATGATGATGTTCTTAGTCCCACGTTTATGAAAAAAATCTTATATATAATAATAGACGGAGGATCCCCCTCCCACTTCCCATCTTACGATGTCATCACATTCACAATGTTTTATTATATAAAATATGTTTTAAAAATCTTAAAAACAAAAATACCTCCTATACACCTTCTAAAAAAATTCAACTTTGGAAACCAAACTTTGGAAACCTTTCACGCACCCAAGTCCTTTGACTAAGACAGTGATCTAGTTCTACCGTAAAGTATGTTATATATTAAAATCAAACCAAACAAAAACACGTGATTTCTTGAATAGAATAATAATAATAATAGCTCCCGTATATAGCATTTAACGCCTTGGGCGTAGCAAGGTACAGCTTGCAATGCTAGAGCCGTTCGGTATACAAGGAAGGTAATGAAGGTATTACCTCAGGATTATGAATCCTAGGTACTCATTTAAGGCTGAGTCGACCTAGGTAACCAAACTATTTTTATTTTAATAAAAATAATGGGCTACTGATGAAATACCGGCTGTAGGATTCGAACCCACAACCTTGATATTGGTAGACGAGAGCTGTACCTCTACTCCACCGGGTACCATTTTAATAAAATATAAAAATAGGTCTTACTTGTACAAGAATTTTTAGTGCATCCTGGTAAAGTTTGGTCTGTGGTGATAAGGAAAATACAACAGTCAGGTTCAAAGAGTGTAAGTCGATTATGAAATATCTTACGGCGGTTGCTAATATCTGGCTGAATTCTTCGGTACTACCTTCATACTTTTCGCAATTAATTGCTCCAACGGTATAACAGATATCCTCTTTCAAAAACCTTAAAATCAATTATACAGATATTAATCTACAACTACGATAAAATACTTCCTGAAATCATATTTTAATTCGTATAGATATTAGGGATGGACGATAATTTAAGTCGTGGGCAAGGTGGGCATCTGCTCACGACGCCAGGCACCAGGGGCGCCGCAGAGGCGTCAAAATGTGTCCAAAATCAATAGGTAAAAACTCTAATCACGCACCGCATGCACACATAAGGTATGTTAGTAGTTTCTGCAAATATCATACCTACAAGTAAAATTTCGGCACAAGGGCGGCAAAATATAAGTATGCCCCAAACTAGTAGTAAAAACTCTAATCACCATGCAAACATGATACAATAAAATAGTAAAATTTTGATAGAAGACGCTACCTAGTGCGTGCGGCAGGCATTTTTAAGGAACATCGAAAATGTAAACACTGCTTTGCAGAGGCCAATGCTTTCGATCGCGGAGGCATCTAAATTGCTGAATTAATTACAGAGTTTCTTAGCTGAGTTTAGTGACAAAGGGGGGGTGTCTACACATTTTTTGAATTGTAGGGGCGCCAAATTTTGTCTTTGCCCACGACGTATTTTACCCTAGATCCGCCACTGGTACATGTACAGCCAAGATATCATTTTACTGCCAAGCGACTGTCACTGACTGCGAAGAAGACTGCCTATGTCTGCTATACAGGGTGAGTCTTAAATAAATGCAAATATTTTTAGTTCTGGTAGATCTCGATAAAAGAAACATATTTTCTCTTTGCCATTTTTCAAATAATAGGCCAGTAAACATAGGCGAGTATTATATGTAAAGGTGGAAAAAATTAATAACCAACCAATCTCAACGGGAATGTGTAGATAATGATCTCCTATTTAACCCCTCAAAAGTCCCATTCGCTCCCAGTGGGGGAAGTTTGAAAAAAACCGCCGCCATCTTGGGTTTTTTCGTTTTTTTCAAATATCTCCGTTTGCATAACTCTTTTCGAAAAAACTAATGATATATTTTTTGTAGAGAATTGAATTTAGAACATTTTACCTTTAATCATTTTTTTTTCTAAAATAAATAGTAATAAAGATAGATCAATTTTTTACTATACGTTTTATAAATTTTCCAGTTTTTTTAAACCAATCAGCTATAATTTTTGCGTTAACAGTATGGTGTTAATATAGATAAACCAAGAATACATTTAAGCATTAAAACAATTAAAATTAATGTTTAGATATTATTTATTAAATAAAAGTATTGTTAAAATAATTATTATTAAATTAAAATAAAATCTGCCATGACGTCATCCTGAGCGTCATTTTTGTCCTCAACTAAAATACAAAAGTTTGTGCAACTGCTTCCGTAGCACTAACCACACTTTGAAGAACATTTAAAACCCAATTTTCTACAAGAGCAATTTTTAGAGCATTGACTCTCTTTGCAATTGCAAAGAAATCTTTTTAGTAAGTCAGAAGGCGCCACATCTTCTGGCGATTGAATAGGTGTCAGATTGCCATTTTGATCTTTCTTCAAGTGCAAAAATCCAAGATGACGGCGGTTCTTTTCAAAATTCCGCCACTGGCACCGAATGGGACTTTTGAGGGCTTAAAGCTGGATTTATAAACTCGGAAGTTGGCGTTCAGTTGAGGTTCAGTTGCAGTTGGATGTTCGCGGCAGTTGAGGTTCAATATTTTTGCATTTATAAACTGTCAGTTTCGGTTGTAGGTTAGGTTTGGAATTGTGAAAATTTCGAACGTTTTTCTTTCGATTTAAAAATACTTCTGGTATTTGTCAAAGTTCAAACACAGTAATCCACGATTACGCAAAATATAAACATCACATTAACAGAAATAATGAAACAACAATAAGGGTCATTTTCCAATGCATCGGCGTACTGTGCTTCACGTGATCGACAGGCGCTTTTTCATTGGCTGTCGCCGAACGTCGCCAGCGGTCGCCAACTGCCCGCAACTGCCGACATAAACATTGACCATCTTTGAACTCCGCTGAACGTAAAACGAACTGCCAACTTTTCGACCAACTGACTTTATAAATGCGCGCGTTCATTTCATAGCGTTGAACATTTTGAACGGCAACTGAACCTCAACTGAACCTCAACTCGCGAGTTTATAAATCCAGCTTAAATAGGAGATACATTTCCGTTGAGATCGGTTGGTTACTAATTTTTTCCACTTCAACTTCCAGATTGACTGGCCTATAAGTCCAGATTTACCGAGCTTTTCAAGTTTGAAAATTAAAAAAATATAGGTATTTATTTTTAAAAATGTTTGAAAGCCACTGGATTCTTTCTCTATTTGTATCTCTTTTAGTGGCGTAACCAAAGATTAACACATATTTATTAGTAAAATAGAGAAACTAAATAAAACAAGAATTCATTCCGCCCCTTTAAATATCCTATTTAAAGGGGCCGAATACAAAGCGCATGCGTATGAATCGCTCCAAAAAGTTGTGCCACAGAGTGTATTATTTCAATTGGGAATACATTTTTTATAAAAGGCAACAATGCATTCGAGATAAAAAACGAAGTCTAACACCGCCGTAGAGCTACGAGGTTAAAGGTCCGAGATTACGGCGGCATTTAATAACAAGATGAAATAAGCGCCACAAGTTATTATGTGCCGTAATCATAAAGTAAAGCCGTATGGTAATATCATGTAATATCAGAGATTAAGAAATCATACCGTAGAAAAATTTGCGGTGAAGTCAGTTCTAAAAAGTTTTCTAAAATATACGGAGTGACTAAAAAAGAAATGGCGCCGGAAGGCACATATTAAAATATGTTAATAAAAAGTTGGTAGGCAGTTTTTTTAGTTTCAAAGTAAAAGAACTTTTCCAATTTTTTTTATCTCAAAAACTGCGACTTTGGCTGATTTTGATGTTATTACAAATTTTGTTGCAAATATTATTCTTAATCTAATTGAAAACTGCGTTTCGCTAGCTACTGTAATTTTGAAGTTACGATTTTTTTAAATTTTTAACCCCCTCCCATACCCCCTTACCAACCCCCCACCCCCAGGTCATTTATGACCCAAATAACTCATTTTGAGTGAAATCAAAAAAAACTTTTTTTTTGCCGATCTTAATGGCCTATCATACCTGTTGGTATGGTCGGCTAATAAATATAGACGTGTTCCTGGGGTCGAAATATACCACCCCTAAAATATTGAAAACATAATATACAAGGTGGGTCTTAAATTAGTAGAAATATTTTTAGGAGTGGTATATTTCGAACCCACAAACACATCTATGGAGTTTTTTTCGCAAAAGAATATGTTGAAAATCGTGTGTTTTTTTTTAATTTTCCTTTATATTTTAGAAAACTTTTTAAGAAATTTAACGCAAATTTTCTCACGGTATACAGTACATCTGCTGGATCTGTGTCTATGAAAGGAATGCGGACAAAAAACATTTAAATAAACAGCAATATATTTTATACGTCGATTTGACGAGTGCGTCACCGCAAATCGCTCCGCCCACTCATTTTATTGGCTACTTGCAAATTTGTTGAATTTTTATTGATGGGACGCGTCGTCTATTTTTTTAGAAAAAACATCGAGAGAATATCGTTTCCCCTCTCACGGATACCCCGTAGCTACAGAATGGATAGACGTACTGTAATTTCTTAATCACTGATATTTTCACAGATTACCATAATTACGACTTTACTCTAGGGTTACAGCACTAAAAGGGATGCAATTACAGAAAAAAATCCTGTGGCTCTCATTTTTTTTTAAATAAATATATTGTTTTAATTTTCTAACTTCGATAACTCCGTTCTTTTGGATTTATTTGGAAAACGGTAAAGAGAAAATATGTTTTATTATCGAGATCTACCAGCCCTGAAAGCTGCAACTCTTACTTGCCACTTATCTAAAACATACCCTGTATACCTAATTTTACTTAATAATTTCCAAATGTTTAATATTCCGGGTTTTGAGAAAGGTTAAATAAAAACACACTAATATAAATTTTGATATATCAATAACTATCCACAAAAGAATATCTCGACTGTTATATATACAGGGCGAGTCTTAAATAAATGCAAATATTTTAGGGATGGTAGGACCCCAGAAACATGTCTATGAAGACTTTTTCTCGATTTTTTTTGGAAGTTCGCAATTTTTTGAAAGAAATTTTGGATTTTTTAAAAATTTTTAGCTAAAAGAATATCTTTATAATATGGCAATAGGCCATGATAATAAAAGAAACTAAAGAATTATTCAAAGTATACTGCTATATCTCTCTTGTTTTATTTTGAGAGCCATTAATTAATTCTTTATATATTAGGGAAAGTTAAATCTCTATTGCTATTTGTAAATCTTGGAAGCTATCATATCGGAACTTTTAAATATTCCTTTAGCTAATTTACGGGAAATATACTTTCAGCAAGATGTGACTCCCCTTCACAACTTAACCTACAACGAAAATATTAGAATTTTATTAAATTATTATTTCTCAAATCAATGAATTGGAACCAATATACCCATATGATGGCCTCCCTAATTCCCGGATTTGTCCGTTCTCGATTTCTGATTTTGGGGATTTTTGAAATATGAAATATATGGTGGCAACTAATACGATGCCGAACACCTGGAAAATGCTTTAATATTGCAAGCTTTTAGATATTTGCAAACCCATCCATTATAATAACGTCCGTTATAAAACAGAGGAAAATATATTCAGAGGTTCGGTGGTAACAGTTCAAAAGTAAAATATATCAATTCCAAATAAAATTTTAATATGTGTATGTCTGTTTTAGTAAATACCATTTTGATTTTGTTATTTATCACGGCCTACTAATAAGAAAATGATATATTTTAAATATTGCAGTAAATAGTGAAAATAAATATAGTAGTGATATATATATTTGAGAAGCCCATAGCAAGGCGGATCATATGATTTATAAATATACAGGGTGTTCCATTTGAAAAAACATAACTTTAGATCATATTTTCAAAAATATTTTTTTCGTAGAAAAACAGACTGCGTCACTGTATTCTACCTAAAAACTTCTATAAGAATCAGTTTTCGCCTTCTCGATATCATCCATAATAACGGAGATACGGGGGCTGTCCCAAATTGCAAAATTTTCGATAAGACCCTGTAGCTCAGAAACGAAGAGAGCTATGAAAATATGAAAATTTTGTTGACAGTATCTTTCGTTTGACCAAGAAGTGGCAAAGGTTTGTGCAAACCGCACCTTTCTATCTTCACGAATAACGGAGATACCGTATGATTTCAACTAAAATGGGACACCCTGTACAGGGTGGCGCCTCTCATACGCCGCGGAGGCTCCAAGGAGAACGAAAGTTTGTATTGAAATGAAATGTTCAGATCACTTTTTAAAAATATAGACAAAAAAGTTACACATGAAAGTTGTGTTTTTTTTTGGAATGGAACACCCTATATATTAACTGATTTTCGAATTCTGGGAGAAAAATAAAGGTGAGTTTTTTAAGTGAAGTATATAATATGACTAAAATATAAGGTTTTTGACATATTTAACATTTTCTAGAAATAAAGAACAATTTTTAAATTACAATAAAAGCTACCAAAATTGGAATTTACCCGGTATAGCATAATATGAAGTTAAATTATCTATTGTACTTTACATCAAATTAAAACTTATTAAAAAAGTTATACAGGGTGAGACAAAATTAATATTGAACATTGGTCACTTTTAAAAGCACAAAATGTTACTCTTTTATTTTAAATGGAACACCCAATATATTATTCCGATATTCATTGGAGAATTCGTGTCTCTTTAAAATACTGTTAAGGTTGCCTATTCCTAGATATTTTCATTTATATGATTTGATCTCAGTAGATCTTTATTATTTGATAAAATCTAGGTGACTGTGATATGGTCTGACGTTACTTCAACATAGTTGTCTAATTAGTCCAACTTTAACAACTAGTTATCATTTTGTGTCAGTTAAAACAAAAAAAAAATCAGAAATTTGCCGAAAATGCAAACTTATCCTACATCAGAGATAATTGATATGATTCTATTAGTTGGTGCAGGGTGCATTCACCAATGAATAGAATACTTATATGCTCCTGATTTTATCTAGTCTGGTTCTTTTATGGGGATTTGTTAAAGACAGTGTTTACAAAACTCGACCAACTATTATCGACAACATGAGAGAAATTATTGTAGCTGCTTTTCGAGGTTGAACTCCACATATGCCTTTTAGAATGAAAAGATCCTTTTTGAAACGACAATCATTTTATGCAGTTAACAGGAAAAGAAGCATTTTGAGCATTTGATTTCATCTAGCTAATTTTTGTCACAAAATTATAGGTTTAAATAATTCTATAATAATTAAAATATGTTTTAAACGTGTATCTTTTTATTACCGTTGAGTATTTTAGTCTACAATCTCTAATTTTTATTAAATTCACAAAAAGTATATCACACAGCCACCTAGATTTTTTCAAATAATAAAGATCTAATGACGCAAAATCATAAAAAATAAAATATCTAGGAAATTCCTTGTCTGAGTGGTAGGCAACCTTACTAATATTTTAAAGATATATAAATTCCCCATTGAACACCTGAAAAATATACTGGGTGTTGCATTGAAAATAAAGGAGTAACTTGCTTTTAAAAGTTCCATATTAATTTTGTTTCGCCCTGTATAACTTTTCAGGTCAAATTTCAATTTGGTTTAACATACAATGGTTATTGTAATTAAATATCGGGCTATACAAGGTCAACTAAAATTTAGGTAGCTGTTATCGAAATTTCACAAAATGTGAAATCCTATAGAGTTTAGATATAAGCTTCTTTAATAAAACTCACCTCTATTTTTTTCCTAGAATCCGAAAATCAATTAATATATAGGGTGTTCCATTAAAAGAAACACAACTTTGATGTGTAACTTTTTTTGGGGACACCCTGTATAATTCTATATATTTTTATAAAATGCTTTCAGCTAACTTACAAGGTGGTCCGAACTGTATTCCGGAAACTTCGGCAGCATATTCTGCAGATAAAAATAAGTAAAAAAGTTCATATAAATATATGTCCTAAAATGCTTAGTTTTGGAGATACAGGGTATAGAAGTTTCATTTTTATTTCGATTTTTTTTAAATAATTTCCGAAGTAACGTCAATATTTGGATGAAAATTTGTGTCTGGGAGTTTTTTGACATGAGAAATTTGATTTTGATGTCAATATGACTCCTACTAGTAGAGGGCACCACCTACATGTGTTTTGACTGTTTTGAAGCGTCATAACTTTTTCTCCGTACCTGTATAAAAGCATCGAGTGAAAAAATATACATCTCTGTGACTGATAAATCGTCTTTTTTTTGCAGAAAAATTTATGATTAATTTAAAGAAATAAAAATTTCCCAAATTTATTATTTCAGTGAAATAACTATCTACTCAACGTGTTTATTTTTTGTCAATAATGACTATTTCCATTTTAAATATCTTGAGAACCATTGCTCGTAGCGATTTTTACAAAGAGATATTTTTTACGTAAAAAGTCACAGAGATGTATATTTTTTTTACTCCATAATTTTATACAGGTACGGAGAAAAAGTTATGACGCTTCAAAACAGTCAAAACACATGTAGGTGGCGCCCTCTACTAGTAGGAGTCATATTGACATCAAAATCAAATTTCTCATATCAAAAAACTTCCAGACACCAATTTTCATCCAAATATTGATGTTACTTCAGAAATTATTTAAAAAAAATCGAAATAAAAATGAAACTTCTACACCCTGTATCTCTGAAACTAAGCATTTTAGGACATACATTTATACGAACTTTTTTACTTATTTTTATCTGCAGAATATGCTGCCGAAGTTTCCGGAATACAGTTTGGACCACCCTGTATATGCTGCCAAAATTTCATTTCGATATAAACTACAGTTCTCCTTGGAACTTCCGCAGCGTATGAGAGGCGCCACCCTGTATAAAGTGAAGTTTATGCGGCGGATATTTAGGCCGGAGTGTGTATAACTATTGACTAACCAAATTAAAAAACGTTTTCACTTGCCTTATGGAAAATATAAACATTCGGATCTTAAGACTTCCTTGATCCATATCCTCACTTTCGACTGACTTCATTTTATAATCATTGAATGCCAGTGCTATTTTTCTCTTCGGCGCTGGAAGATTTTTTTGATAGTCGTCCAGAATCAGGTAAGGAGTTTCGTTCATAATAAGCGGTTTTATGGTCGGTGTCATTTCTGTTAGTGGCAGATCTTCTATATAAAAACATAATTAATAATCTTACTCAACTGGAAAACCTAAGTACTAAGTACCTTCTGAAGATTCTGAAGGTGAAACTTTCTTAGTTTTCTTTTTTCCCATGTTGAAATATATTCTTCACTATAAATTCAATTTTTAACCGGCTAAAATAAATTGAATACTAGCAGAAATTATTTCCGTGCAGATATATTCTTCGATCACAAAAAATCGAAGAATTTCTTTATCTCAGAATGTACCTATGAAAAAGTGACTCAAATTTGCAGAAGGAATTTGTTTATTCGATTTTTTTTGTAGAAACACACTTTAAACTGAAACTAATTTTTAAATTATAATAGAACATAATAGTACAAATAATATTTAAAATAATAAAATACAGTGGCGGACTAATGGGGGGCGGAAGGGGCGGTCCGCTCCGGGCCCCTTCTTCTAGGGGGCCTCCAAATCTTAAGAAGTAATTTTTTATTCAACTGGCAAACAAGGCCAATATGTGTTCAGTAGTTATGAAACAATCTGTAATTAGAGTATGCAAAAAATAAGTATACGCAAACTATACACAGTATAAATGGAAGGAGATATTTACTTAATTATCAATTATTAGGTCCCAGTAATTGTCAATGGCATTTTTCTATTTACGAAATTAAATCAAGGGGTAATTTTCTTTGTTTAGAATATCGAATAATAATTATTTTTTATAGTTTTAAAGATTAAAGTTAATTTCAATGGTTTCGTTATTTATTTTTACTGAATAAATAATTTCTAACTTGTATAGAATGTTAACTTGTATTCTAGCTTTCTAACTGAGCAGCGCCGTCTTTAGAATAACGGGGGCCACGAGCCTGAGACAGCGAAGGGGTCTCTCGGATCTTGGACGAGGCCCCTTACAAAATCGCGGTATTTACCTGGAACGGTCGCGAAAGTAACGCGGCTTGTATGTGAAACCGGTATTCCCATCACTTTGTCATCATAAATTGCCATTAAATACATGCAAACATTCGCTCGGGGATTGTTTTATTACGTCAAATTGCATTCGTTTTTCAATATAAGCTTTAAAAAAATTGATGTTATCGTTTTTGAGGCCTTTTTGGAGCTGGGGCCCTTAATCCTTTGGTCGAGGCCTGTCGGGTCCCTAAGTAAAAACGCCAAAAACGACACTGCCGATGAATAACATATTTATATCTACAGTATGTCCGAGTATTGTCTTATAAACTTTTTTGCTAAAATGGTAATTCCTGTTTATACTTTACCAAATTTCCATACCATTTTAGAGAAAAATAAAAAAAACATGAAAATGTAGTTAAATTTAAACTAGTAAAAATACAACGCGTTTCTATGGTAATATAATTTCGTTTTCATTTTTTATTTGATAGATTATTATGGACAGAATTTTAATTAACGTTATCTTTTTTGCTGTTTTAAAATGTTAAAGAAGCACAAAATTTATTTGGTTCAATGCTCGGTTCAATGCTACAGAAAGGGTGATAATATTTATCGGAAAATATGATACTTTAACATCAAAAAATATGACGTTAATCAAAATTAATTATAACATGATTATAACCATCTATCAAAAAATTAAATCGAAATTATATTACCATAGAAACGCCTTTTAATTTTTAGGATTTTTTTGGGAAAACATTACATTAAAAAACATTTTTTTGTTTTTTTTTAATTTTTTTTTCTAAAACGGTATGGATATTTAGAAAATTATAAACGCCATTTTACAACCAGCAAAATTTTTTATGAAGAACGCATTTTTTTCAAAAAGGTAAAAGTTTCCTCTTGTAAAGACAATCCGGGGACATACTGACTGTAATATAATATATCGATTTTTATCACAATATTAGTACAGTATATAAATACCATAGTAGATACTTGAAATTTGTCAAACATTATACATATGTACGTCATTCAATTTTTACAAAATGTGTAGATCAGGGGCCACATTTAGCTTTGCCGCCCCGGACCCCCGACTGGCTTAGTCCGCCACTGATAAAATAAAATATTAAAGAAAATGTTCCATGGTAATTTTAGTAAAATTTATAACGCAAAATAATTTAGTTAATATTCCCTTTGATTTAAGTTATTACTATTAAAAATTGGATTTACAACACGCACACTTTTTAGCAAATATATCTGGGAATGATTAAAAGGTACAATGCTTCATGTACAGGGTGTCCCACTAAGAATAGTTCTCGGCTGTATCTCGGAAAGTGTTAGTCGTAGAGCTTGCGGAAAAAAATATTTATAACTAATGAGACCATGAGAAATTGCTGGAAATTATTTTCAAGTTTGTAGGAAAATAGCAAAATGGAATTTGTAGGAAATTTTGCCTAGATACGATGTACTACAAATAATAGCTTCATAATCTTCAGTAAATTTTGGATCTTTTTTTGTTAGAACCATTTTCCCCTAGCTGCTAAAATAAAGTGGTGGGGGAAGGTTAGATCTATCTTTGTTTAAATATTAATAACTCCGGACTGGATGATCAGAATCCAATAGGGCTCGTTTAAAAGAGCGTTTCTTACTCTATATTATACCATAAAAATACTAATAATAAGGTTTTGAACGTAGACGCTAGGGGGTGCTTTCTTACAATTTAACAAACATAGCGCGTTTTTTCAAAAAAATTAAATACGATAGTATCTGTAATTTTAGCTGATAATAAAGAGTAGTAAAAGCTTAAAAATTCAGCGAAAACCGCATCTTGATATCTTCTTTCAAACCGAAAATATTAGCAAAATTATAATAAATAAGCCCTTAATTACCCTATTATTACAACAGGGTATCAGTAGCCCTCTTGATTATATCCATTCTATCAAAAAAAAAAGATATAAACAGTACAGTACCAGTATAAGATATAAATAATACCTACCATAATACCAGATGTATTAATATCTAATAATTAAAATATTAATAACAGTGAACAAGAAACGATGATTCAGTGAAGTCATGGTAGGCTTTGGAAAAAAGTTGCTTTTAATAATAGTCTTTTATCTTTTGATTGCTTTTTTAAAATGCCAACAACTTCAACTACTTCAAATAATAAAGACATTTTGAAAAAGCAATTAAAAGATAAAAAACGCAGCGAAGACTATCAAAATGTTGATCTAATAACAATTTGACGTTTATACTATTACGTCAAAAGCAACTTTTTTCCAAAGCCCACCATGACTTCACTGAATCATCGTTTCTTGTTCACTGTTATTAATATCTTAATTATTAAATATTAATACATCTGGTATTACGGTATTCTGGTATTTCGTCGTTACGATGGTATTCTGACGTTACTTCAACATAACTGTGTAATTAGTCCAACTTTAACAACTAGTTATCATTTTGTCTCAGTTAAAACAAAAAAAAACTCAGAAATTTGCCGGAAATTCAAACTTATCCTAATAATTGATTCTTTGATGATTCTTAGTTGGTGAATGCAATGTGCATTGACCAATTAATAGAATACTTAAATTCTCCTGATTTTATTTAGCTTGGTTTTTTTATAGGGATATGTTAAAGACAGTGTTTACAAAAATCGACTAACTATTGTCGACAACATAAGAGAAATTATTGTAGCTGCTTTTCGAGGTATGCCTGTTAAAATAAAAAGATCCTTTTGAAAAGACAATCATTTTATGCAGTTAACAGGAAAGGAAGCATTTTGGGCATTTGATTACATCTAGCTAATTTTTGTCACATAATTATAGGTTTATATTCAGCTTTAATTCTGTAATAATTAAAATATGTTTTAAACGTGTATCTTTACAGTTGGGTATTTTACTCTACAATCTTTAATTTTTGTTAAATTAACAAAAGGTATATCACACAGCCACCCTAGATTTTTTCAAATAATAAATATCTACTGATGCAAAACAATAAAAATTAAAATATCTAGGAAAATCTTTATCTGAGGGTAGGCAACCTTAATAATATTTTGAAGATATATAAATTCCCCATTGAACACCGGAAAATATATTGGGTGTTCCATTTAAAATAAAGGAGTAACTTCGAGGGGTGCGAACACAATGCCTTTTGGTGTAAGGTAGGGGAATTGCGAGGCATTGCGTATGATATTGTGGGAAATTTGAAAAATGGGAATTGAAGGCATTGTATAGGTATAGTTGGCATTATTTGGACATTGTGGGCATTGTAAAGGTATCATCAGCCATTTTATCGAAATGCGCATGCCCACATCTGCGCCATGTTCCTCATTTTTCATAACCTTTATTCCAGTGGGGTATTTTACTCTACTAAAGTCTATATATTGAGTTAAATATTAGGCTTTTGGGTTAAAAATGGCGCTCTAAAAAGCATATTATATAATATGTACTTTATATTTGGCCTTTCCTAAAATAAATTCCTGTATCCGCCCCTGCTTTATTCCGTATCCGTACATTCTCTGTTGTCGTATAAAGAATAAATGGTGCGTCCAGACCTAATATTCATTATCTTTTGGATTCTTTATATTGGTTTTGCTTTATATAAATCGATGACTTTCAGCTGATCTTTTTCCGTCCAAGTCTCCATTTCAATATGCACTAATATTAGAGCTAATATCTCGCAGTCGAGCGAGCCTACCTTTCCCAATATACTTTATATTCGATATATTATATCGATATAAATTCGATATATCGATATAATATATCGTATAAATCAGGGCCGCATCTACCTACGGGCTATTTGGGCTGCAGCCCAGGGCCCCGAGGTTACAAGGGGCCCCCAGGCCCCGCGAAAAACAATAGACCCATAGGTGGGAACTGTTGAATCGTGAAATAAAATTAAAATTCAGGTTAAAAGTTTAAGCCAGACAAGATGGCCTTGCCACTATGATGCTGTCAAAGCCTTAAAAAATAATTATGATGGCATTATGAAAATGTTCAAAAGTTTCAGCGAAAATGAGGTTGAGAAAGTTGATTTCCGGAAAGAGGCACGAAATTTATTCAATAAAATGGCGAAACTCGAGACTGCAATTTTGATTATCTTTTGGGAAGAAGTTTTGGAGAGATTTCATTTAGTTAATAAAAAAATACAGAGCCCTGGTTTAGACATTTGTGAACATAAACAAGAGCCCTGGTTTAGACAATTACATAAACAAGAGACGCATTATCCCAAAATTTTCAGATAAGTCTACAGGTGAATTCTCAGTATACGGCGCAGAAAGATTTAAAGAGACACGTTAAAAGTTGCGTTGGATAAGCTGATTATGGATTTAAA